AGTTCTCTGAAGCTCAGCAAATACTCTGATTAAAACACTAAGCTTCAAAGTTACCTGTTTGTCGGAACTTCCCACAGTTCTCTCAGCAAATACTCTGATTAAAAGACTTAACTTTCTTCAGAGAACTGTGGGAAGTTCTGACAAACAGATAACTAAGTTAAGTCTTTTATATTGTTGACTGTTTTTCATTGTGGCTCCACCTTTATTTCATGATAGCTTTGAAGAGAAAAACTATCTCAGTAATTCGTTGTTCCTTCTCTGTCCTAGTTATTTACGAGTAAAATGTGTAGATGAAATTAGCCTGTTAATCAACCAAAGAGCAATGAATTTGTACAAGTCATTGTTTATAATACAGAAGAACTGATGAGTTGGTAACTACCTATTATTGAAACTATGTTTTATGGTTTTTATACATGAAATATATACAAAAGCCACTAGTGTATTTGATCAGAAAATCTTTGAAAGTTGTTTTGACACTTATCAATACTGTAGAAAGTGCTGTTATTAATACTAGTTAAAATAAGTTATTCTAATTGTTTTAATTGTAAAGTTATAAAATATTGTCATGGAAAAATCATATTTTGATGTCTTCATGAAGCAGTGTGGCATGGATAATCAGATCAGATGGGCACATTTTGTAACATCAGATCACATGGGCATATAGTGTAGCGTGGATAATCAGATCAGATGGGCGTACAGTGTAGCATGGATAATCAGATCAGATGGGCATATAGTGTAGCATGGATAATCAGATCACATGGGCACATAGTGAAGCATCAGATCACATGGGCACATAGTGAAGTATCAGATCACATGGGCACAAAGTGTAGCAAATGTTTATGAGAACTTATGCCTTAAAATTATCATAAACTTTGTAATCAAATTTAATAATTCTTAACACTTTTTGTTATGTTACATCTGATCTTTCAGCTTCATGCTTGCATAATCTAAAGTTTAGCTTTAATTGAGTTGTATTTTTCACATTCGAAAATTTAGTAAACTATTAAACACCGTACATTTTTTTTACAGAAAAATCCACTGTTAATAAGAATTGACACAAAAGCTGGTCATGGAGCTGGAAAGCCAACCTCTAAGATTGTGAGTATATTTTTTGTAATTCTATCTAAAATTGTAAAAATAAAAATAATTTATCAATAAAATGATAAATAAAAATGTTCTTTGTATGCATTAATAAACGGACTTCTGATTGAGAAGTTGCCTTATGTGTTAAAGCCCTCATGTAAAACATCATATTTTATGTAATTGCTATTTGAAACCATCGGTACTTGGTGAAACTCCATAATTACAGAATTGAGGAAACAAACAAAGACAATTGTACATTATTAATAACCATGGTTTTTGCCAGTAAAGGCATCATCTGGTACCATTTCAGTCTGTGCCTGATGAAACCATAGTTGTTAATAAACGAAGGCATCATCAGGTACCACTTCAGTCTGTACCTGATGAAACCATAACCAGTAAACTATGGTTTCATCAGGTACAGACTGAAGTGGTACCAGATGATGCCTTCATTTATTAACAACGAAACCATAGTTGTTAATAAATGATGTATTTGTGAAACACATAATTGTTTTTGTTTATTGTTCCCCAATTCTGTAATCAAGTTTTGTCATTTTTTACTCCTCTCGTTCATAACAAATTTGTTTTCAACTAAAAATGGTGCTAGTATTCTGGTAGAGACCCCAAATTACACTTTCCTTTCCCACATTTTTATCCATTGAATCATTATTTGATATTATCTTAGATATTCCTTATATGCTGAGTTTCTTTTCACAGTTTACTGTGTCCCGTGATTTTCCTGAGGGATCAGTTTAAATATTAAAGAAAGTGTTCAGTCTATGATAACCATTGTCAAAATTTTTAACAACTTCAGTGTACTGAAGTATTTACATGGGTCCTTGTGATCGTTTCTTCTCTTCCTTGTTATGCATTGCAGTCAAAGCATATTTATTTAAATGTTAATTAATTACTCTTTGTTCACTCAAGTCTTTTGTGATTTTTTTCCCCTTTAGTTTTAAACATAATTCTCACATCAGTTAAGATCTGCCTTTGTTTTTTGTGGCCCAGCCATTGGATAATATATTAATCTTTTCTAATGACTTTACAAACTTTACTTTCTTGAGAATTATCTATGTCTATCAAATTAAATTGTTGGTTACTGTATTATTTGGAAATGACTGAAACGTAAACCTTAAAGTTTCTGTTTGTAGTTTTGGTTTGCTTCTGTTAATAATTTATATAGCGTTATAATTCAATCAAAGTATGAAGAAAGCCACAGAATGGACAGAGGTTTTGTACTTTAATTGAATTATCTGTCAGTAGTACTTGACTGTTATCATACTGATATTGAAACACAATACGTTTCATAAATTTATTTGAACAATGTTATGTTCTTCATTTTCACAAAGCTTTTGATTACATTCAGACACACACACACACACACATAGGCTAGTTCTTTTTGCTTGTTTCAAACTTTTTTACTTACCATTTCTACAAGATATTTACTTCAGGAGATATAACTGCTGTTAATCTGTGGTGTTGGACTCCTAAGGTATTAATTACTTCAATAAAGGAATCCTTATCCAATTCTGAGTGCCGTGTTATTCGTATCTTAATTGAATACTGTGTTGCTTTTTTCAACATATTTCTCCTGTTGCACTTCTAAGGTGTTAATTACTTCAGTAAAAGGATCTTTATTTATTTCTGAATGGACATGTTTTACTCGTGTCCTACTTGGCACATACACAATATCAATCCTAATTCATGTATTCTTGTTTCATTTTGTACTTCTAATTTTTCATTATCTGTTGAAAGTACAACTTTCTTTTTTCTCAACACAGATATGGAGGTATATTGTGACTTAGTTACTTCCTATCATGTGACAAAATAAACAATTTTCAGATTCTGTACAAGTATTATTGTTTGTGTTTAAATGTGAATAATTGTATTGCTATAAATAATCACAGGCATTAACGTAAACACTTTACTGTTTTAAAATTTGATTAATCATTGTAAAAACAGAAAATATTATTTTATTTATTGTTTAATATTACTTATTATTAATATTATGTTTTACTTAAAGATGCAAAAGATGTATATTATTTTAATTATGATAGCTTTGAAACATTTTTGTAAGAATTTTACAGTACTTTCTGAACGTTTTTCTCTGACCTGCATGTGTTTTTGTTTTTCAGATTGAAGAGCTTACAGATATTTACAGCTTTATCATAGTATCTCTTGGACTGGAGTTCAAACCATAAAGAATTAGACAAGTTGGTAATCCATAAAATAGCAAAATTTTACTGTGAAACTCATTGATCATATAGTCCTTAATTGAAAAGACTGTGACACGTGTCAACCCTTTGGGTCAGGAAATTGTTTCCTTTACAAAAGTCTCTATTTTCTCAAATTGAAGTGGTATCAGAATTTAACATTATCTAATTGTAAAGATGTTTCTTCTTTTCTCACAAAATGTTTACCTGTTTACTGTAACAGAAATATATCTAAGTGCTGTATAGTAGTGTTTGGTCATTGTGAATTGAATGAAAAATTAAACTAAATATTAACTTCCAATCATAGCAAGCTGTGTACTTAAAATGAAACTAAAAATCACTCTGGCAATCAATATGGCTAATTAAATATATGTTTCTTACATTTGTATTTATAGAAATTAGGTTGGGTACCCTCACCTTTGACAATATTTTCAGACATAATCTCAAATAATATGATAAGCATTGCATGTAAAATGTTTCTCACTGTGTAAGTGTTGCATGTAAAATGTTTCTCACTGTGTAAGTGTTGCATGTAAAATGTTTCTCACTGTGTAAGTGTTGCATGTAAAATGTTTCTCACTGTGTAAGTGTTGCATGTAAAATGTTTCTCACTGTGTAAGTGTTGCACGTAAAATGTTTCTCACTGTGTAAGTGTTGCACGTAAAATGTTTCTCACTGTGTAAGTGTTGCATGTAAAATGTTTCTCACTGTGTAAGTGTTGCATGTAAAATGTTTCTCACTGTGTAAGTGTTG